AAGTGGGGTGGGTGTGCAAAGAGGAACATGTTTGTCTACCTGCCCTTTCTCTTACAGAGAGAGTGCCCTTCAGCCCCCACCCCTCTAGCACACTTCCCACTCCTGGTAAGTCTTTCAAACTACTGTCTCTGTTTTGGGTGTCAGAGGGACCAAAGGAGCATGCCTGTCCTTCACAAGTGACAGAAGCCTCTGCCTCCCAGGTTGCTCCAACTCTTCCTGGTATCCAGCCTCATTAACCACCAAAGCCCAGCGCAATGTGGACTTGTGTTCCCAGAGCAGATCTCCAGGGCAGGTGTGAAGGACTTCTGAGAGCACATTGCTGCCACACTCCATTCCTCACCCTCCTACCTGTGGGCTGGGATGGGGGAAGGGCTAGGGTCCCAGTTGATCCCAGTTCTGCCACTTTAACTTCCTCAATGTGGCCTTTGTTTCTTGATCAGGTGTAGAAGGCCTGTTCTGCAGTCTTCAGGGTTAGTTGTGTTTGCTGCAGTTGCATCCTTGTGTACTGGTGAGGTTTCTGCCTTCCCTGTCTTCCCTCTCTGCCATCTTTTCCACCTGGAACCTGATTATCTTTTTTTAAATCTTTATTTTTATGCTCTTCTCCACTATCTTCCTCAGCACTTCTTTCCAGTAGTTTTTTTTTTAATCCCAGAATACCTGATAATTTAATTCCGATCTGAGAATGAAGTCCCAAGAACCAAGACAACTAATGTTTTAGTTTCAGTTTAAAGACTGTTGTGTGCCAGACCCAGGAAAAATTGATATTTTAATTCCTGTATGAAGATAGAAAAAAGCTGATATCATAATTTAAAGACTATCAGGGAGGAAGTATTCTCATTTATTTGGGGTAGGGTCAACCTTTTTGTTCTAATCAGGCCTTCAACTAATTGAATGAGGCCCAACATACCAGGGAGAGCAATTGCTTTACTCAATTTACAAATTTTAATGTTAATCTCATCCAAAAATACCTTCATAGAAATATCCAGAATGATGTTTGACCCCAAGTATCTGGACACCTCATGGCCCAGTCAAGTTGGGCCATAAAATTAACCATCATAGTTTCTAAGCAAGATGGACTAACAAGAACTAGGTTTACACTCTTATGTGAAACAGCCAAAATGAAAGATAGTGGATAAGAAACAAACAAACCCTGAGCCCTAGGATTTCCCTAGCTTACTGCCTTGAGAGAATTCCCCTGTCACACTTCAGGAAGAAGAAACCCAAGCACAACAGCAGACATCCAATAAAAAAATATCAGGCATACAAGCAAGCAGAAGAAGGCAACCACAGTGTAAAGGAAAATAACTCAATTGAAAACTACGTAGAACTAACACAAATGTTAAAATTAGGGAATAAAGACATTAAGACAGTCATTGTATAACTATACTGTATATGTTCAAAAAGCTGCTACAGTAAAAAATATAATCATTCCCAAAATACTCTTCTAGAGATGACAGCTACAACGTCTGTGATATAAATGCATGGGATGGAATTAACATTAGGTTACACACTGCAGAAGAAAAGGTTAGTGAACATGAAGCATAGCAAGAGATTTTACTCAAAATGAAGCACAGAAAGCTTTTTAAAATGAGAAGAGCATCAATATGCTATGAACAATTGTATGTGACTTGGTGTCTCAGAAGAGACAGAAAAATTATTTGAGAAGTCATTGTTAATGCACAATTCCAAGAGGCTCCATAAACCTGAAGAAAATGCCCATGAAAATAACCACACCAAGATCATCATAATTCAATTTCTTAAAACCAGTGATATAGAAAAATATCTTAATAACAGACAAACAAAACCTATACATTATGTGCAAAGGTAAGATGAACAGATTTCCTATAAGGAAAAAAAATGAAGTACAACTGAGGTGTAGTGAATGAGTGATAGGTTGATTTTGCCTTAAGTCCAGGTATTTTTAGTATATTTCTACAAAATGTGATTTTTAACTCAAAACAATTGCAGTTCATTTCTTCCCAAAGCTTCCACTAAAGACCTTTGCTCTGCTTGTCACTGAGCCAGTTGCTACTCTTGGAATTTACAGCTTGATATCTACAAAAAGTGCACTTTGTATTTAGATCTTTGCATGCTCAGTGTGTCAAAGGCCAATTTTACTTTGTGTTAAGCTTCAGTGTTATAAGAATAACATTAGTTATTCCACTTCTGATTTTCATCCTCTTTATTTCTCTACAGTTGGATTATCAGTAAATATTCTATCAAATATTTGTACAATCTGGCACAAAAATGATGTCCCCAAAAGATGTCCTGAGAAAAAACCTGAAGATGGTCCATGGCTATCCTATGATCCATGCTTTTGTAAACAACTGGGAAAGGATTGAACAATTCCATAGCAGGCCAGATGACATCGTGATAGTCACTTACCCCAAATCAGGTGAGTTTTGTGGCCTGAAAAATGCAGATCTGACTTCAAACTTTGTTTCCTGAAAATCAACTTCTCTGTAAAATCATTATCATCCTAAATAAAAGAAATATTATGATCAGTCTAGCCATCTACTTTGAGTACATAAAAATGGGCATTAAGTGCATAGAAAGAGAAATTCTGAAAATTAAGTTTCTCATATTCTTATATTCTTAAGAATGTATTGAGATGGCAGGACTCCCACAGGTACTTTTCTCCCCCAGACTGGGATGGTAATTATAAAAAATATTGTCTTTTGCCACAGGTACCACTTGGGTTAGTGAAATTGTGGATATGGTTATAAATGATGGAGATGTTGAAAAATGTAAGAGAGATTTTATAACTGCTAAAGTTCCAATGTTGGAAATGGCTGCTCCTGGACTAAGAACTTCAGGTAATTTTAAACCACCTGGCAATTATAATTTTGTAATATTTTTTGCACAGCATACTGATTATTATGATTATTGTGATTCCCATGCAAAGAAAATGGAGTCGATTTAGTAACAGAAAATAGAAGTTGACACACGGCATAACCAAGGCACATAGAAAACCTGCAGTAGTTCAGTCCATTGCATATGAGGTACAATAACAAAAGAGGAAAGAATTTTGTTGCAGAAAACAACTAAAAATTTGTTTGATGACATAAAAAATGTTCCTTAGCTTTTATTGGTGTTTGTTGTGTAGAATTTGACTGATTAGCACAATAAGTTCCCAGTTTAAGACTTTGCTATAGTTAAATAAGTAAAGAAGCATCAATTCCTCCCAAATGTAAAATTTATTATTAATGCAACTTATTTTTCATTCCACAAATAGTTGAGTGCTTCAAAGGAATTATTTTATGCACTGTGCTATGGGCTATATTTAAAATGTTTAGTAAATTAAATGCTCTTTCCTCAAGGAACCTATAGTAATGGTGTGACATTAAATAAGTAAATACATTAACAATATGTGAATATTTTTAGTCTTTTGTATCCAAAGAATAGGGTTCTATGAAAGAGAACAATAGAGGAGTTTACTTTAGGATGGGTATTTAGAGATTTCTACCCTGAATTGAGACCTAATATCATGTACATAGTTGGAGAAAGTGTATTTCAGAAAAGTGAAATATTAGGTACAGAGGCCTAGATGCAGAAAAGTCCCTGGTATAGTCCAGGGACTGAAAGAAAAACAACAGACAATGACAACAACAATGAAAGAAAGGAAAAGTGAGATGCAGAACAATTGGAGACTTTTATGTAAGATCCTGTAAGGCTTCTACAATTCTTAAGAAACACTCAGTGAGCTAGGAGGAAATGAGAAGAGTAGACAACTGAGAAGGGCCCAAGAAGCGGGGCCTGGCTCTCAATGCTGCTGGAGACCTGAGATAAGAAAACAGAAATGTGGGCATGAATGTTCACATTAAAAAGAGTGGAATTCAAATTTTCTCCCCTACTGGAGCTGGTTACTTCCACAGACAGAAAAGGACCGGCTGGAAGGGTATCATCCTTCTGCATGACTGCCTAAAGTCAGAAAGCAAATGCTAAAGCTTGGAACTAAAGGATTATTCTGGAACAAGCAACCAAAACTAGTACAAGAAGAAATTAAGGCTCCAGAGCCATAGAAAAGTATGAAATGAAAAAGTGACAGAATCAAAGTAATCAGGGACAGGGGAATCAGGATTACATGGGAGATGGGGCTGGGTTTGGGGAGTGAGACTGTGTATCACTGCCAGAGAGTAAGTAGGTGAGGTGGCAGGTAAAGGGGGGTAAACTAAGCTGGCACTTAGGCTTACTCTGAAGTCTGAATGTGAATACTTGTGAAGTCATTTTCTATTCCCAACATTTGTATGCAAATGTACACCCTGTAAATATAAAGGCCCTTACATGGTAATAATTACAAGAAAGAAGGGGTTGAGAAATTTTTTAGTTAAGTTGAGGGAGGTAAGAGGATCAACAAATATAGGAAACACTTCATAAAAGAAACAGACATAAAATTTCATATTGTAGGCATTGAGGAATAGTGGTTGTGGAAGATCATGATTTCTCATTTAATTAGCTATGGTGGCTGAAGCTTCCAGATCAGTAGAAGCATAATAAAATACCTGGTAGAATTATAATTAAGGTTTCCAGATAAAATTCAAGATACCCAACTAAATTTGAAATTCAGATAAATAGCTATTTTATTTGCTATAAGGATATTCCAAATATTATTTGGGAAATTCTTATACTGAATGATAGCTATTATTTATTTGAAATTCAAATTTAACTGGAATTCTTGCATCTTCATTTCCTAAATCTGCCAACTCAAACTTCATTATATTAAGGGGTTCTTCTTAATACAATCACCTGCTATACACTGATCTCTGTAGAATGTTCACTAGTGAACAAAACAAGCTACATTCTGCACTCATGAAATCTCCATTCTAGTGTGTGTGAGAACAGGGTGGGGAAAAGGCGTGAAAACTGACAATAAATACGTATGTAAATGATTATGAAAAAGCTATATAGAACACTTAAAGATTATGTTTATATAGAGAGACTGAGTGGCTTTTTAAACGTATGCAAACAACTGAAGCATGAGATTGCTTTCAATGAGTGACTCATACAAATTTGGGTGGTGTGCTTTTGCATGCAAAGGTGAGAAGATAATGTAGGATTAACAGGTAATATAGAGGTTAGACTGGATGTAAATAATATTATTTTAAAAATGCACAGGACTTTAAGATGCATTCGATGTGAAAGGTGAAAGAGGACATAGACTGGATGTAAATAATATTATTTTAAAAATGCACAGGACTTTAAGATGCATTCGATGTGAAGGGTGAAAGAGGACACAACGGTAACTGAAATTTTATGGGTTGTTAACTTTCAAGGAGAGGGTGGCATTAACAGGTATATCTGAGATGTGATAAAGGCCTCTGAGCTTATTAAAAGAATCGTAAGTCAAAAGGGTTAGTCCAACTCTTCCTTGTCTATGTCAGAAATTCTCTGAGTATGCCCTTACTCCAAAAATGTTTCAGACTGGCCAAGTCATTCATGTAGTGAGATCTAGGACCGCTGTATCTTCCTCGCTCTGAAGGTAGAAAAATGGATACTTTTGTAGGGAAGTTCATATGTCCCTCATCCAAAGACTTAATTTGAAACCAACTTCTACCACCTAGAAGTTGTTTACTTTGGAGAGTTCAGATAATACCTAAAAATTACTCAGCATTTTCATTTTACATATATATATTGCATATATATGACACATAAAGGAAATAATGAAAATGCAGCTACAATAGCTGATATTATACAAAAGTTACATCATTTATACCACAATAACTGATGCAAAACAATAGCTGATGTGAGAATTACTAGTTACCAATAACTTTTGACATACAGAAAACATTTTTGTAATTATTTATAATAATTGTCAGGTATAATAAAACTCCAAGTTGCTAAGGTTGGATTATTACTCCTCATTTTGGAGATGGAGAAAGTGAAGTATGGGGATTGGAATGTGCTCAAACGTCTTAGGATAAGTAAATGATAGAGTTTGGACTCAAACTCAAGGACGCTAACCTCAGAACTTTGCCTTTAACCATTACACAATATTCCTTTTGGAATCCTGATAAATAATGCCTGCAGTTGGTTCAAAATTTATCAGCCTTATACACTGCTCAGAACTGTTTTGAAAGGTTGGTTGAGAAATCCAGGAAATAGAGGCTCATTGAAAACTCTAGTATTTCTACATACCGAACTAATTTTCCCAGGCATAGACCAATTAGAGAAGAATCCATCACCTCGGATTGTGAAGACGCATCTACCAATTGATCTCCTTCCTAAGTCTTTCTGGGACAACAACTGCAAGGTATGCTCTGGACTGCAAGCCAGATTTAAATAGTTTCCACCCCTGTATTCACTCATTTAATAATTGCCTAAATGTTTCATTTACTCGTTACTGTGAGAACTGTGCTGCAAAAACATACAAAATGTGCTTCAATTAAAAGCATGTATTTTAATTTAAACCAATATACTCAAGCTTTCTAAAATTATATAGCAACATAATCCTCATTTCATTACAACATTGTTACTATTATTCCCTAGGTGTCCCTAGATGTTCTGGCCTTCTCTGAAAACTCAATGTAAGGGTGTCAGTTATTTGACTGGTAGAATTCTCCAGTGAAACATTTGTGCCTGCATATTTGCCTTGGGGGAACTCTTACATTTTAAATTCAGTTTCTTCAGTGACTGTGGAGCTATTCAAACTATCTAGTTCATCTTAGCTGACTTTTGCTACTTTGTGCTGAGTGGAGAATTCTAATTTCTTGAATTTTGTAATGAAAAGTTGTTCATAATTCTTTCTTATTATTTCTTTTGAAAGACTATTTTTACAGCAATTTTGTTTGTTTTTAAAGAAACTTTAGGTTCACCACAAAATTGAGAGGAAGGTAAAGAGAGTTTCCATATACTCCTTGCCTCCACAGATGCATAGCCTCCCCATTATCAACATCTTCTACTAGAGAGGTATATTTGTTACAACTGATGAACCTGCATTGACCAACCATTGCCACTATTTGGACTGTACAGTCCATAGTTTACATTAGCATTCACTCTTGGTGTTGTCTATCTAATGAATTTGGACAAATGTGTAATGACATATATATACCATTATAGTATTAAATAGTGTTGTTTCACTGCCCTAAAAACCCTCTGCTCCCCCTATTCATTCCTCCCACTCTCCAGCCTGAAAACCACTTATCTTTTTGTTGCTTCCATAATTTTGCCTTTTCTAAAATGCCATTCAGTTAGAATTGTACTCTTTCACTTAGTAACATGCATTTAAGGTTCTTCTATGTCTTTTCATGCCTTGATAGCTCATTTCTTTTTAGAGTGGAATAATATTCAACTGTCAGAATTTACCCCAGTTTATTTATCTATTCACCCCCTGAAGGACATCTTGGTTGCTTTCAAGTTCCAGCAATTATGAATAAAGCTACTATAAATATCCATTTTTGTGTGGACCTAATTTTTCAACTCCTTTGGATAAATACCAAGTAGAATCTTTGCTGGATTGTATGGTAAGAGTATGTATAATTTTGCAAAACACTGCCAAAGTATCTTTCAAAGTAGCAGTATCATTTTGCCTTCCTGAGCAATGAATGAGAGTTACCGCTACTCTACATCTTTACCAGGATTTAGTATTGTTGGTGTTCTGGATTTTGGTCACTTTAATAAGTATGGAATAATGTCTCGTTTTAATTTGCATTTCCTTGATGACATATAATGTAAAGAATTATTTCATATTGCTTTGATTCTTTTTATACCTGCAAGATTTATTGTGACACCCATTTTTTTCCTTGATCTTAGTTATTTGTGTCTTCTCTCTTTTATTTTGTCAGACTTGCTAGGTGTTTATCAATTTTATTATTTTTTTTAAAAAAGAGTCTGCTTTATGTTTCATTAATTTTCTCTATTTTTTTCCTATTTTTACTTTCATGGATTTCAAATCTGTTGTTTTACTTGTCTGTACTTTAATTTTTTTCTTAAATAAAAGATCATCCATTTGATTTTCTTCCTCCTCCCTCTGCAGATGATTTATCTGGCTCGAAATGCCAAGGATGTTGCAGTCTCATATTACCATTTTGACTTAATGAATAATTTGGAACCTCTTCCTGGCACCTGGGAAGAATATCTGGAGAGATTTATGACTGGAAATGGTATGTTGACCTTGGCTTAAAATTAATAAGCAATTAAAAAATTTTTAATAATATCATTAACTATCACTGGTATGATTTTTTCCCTTCAAAACATTTATTTTTACAAGTCAGTAACAAGTACATACCATTTTAAAAAGTCATACCAAATATGAAATATTTTACTATGACATTCTATGTATATAAACCTGATATTAAATATTGGTTTAATGAAAATATTCTCAAATCCCTTTTCAGTTACTAGAAATCCATTGTTCGTTCCTGCTCACAACAGAAATTGCTTAACTTGACCAAATCATTAGTTAGATCTGTTATACATATATTTATAAAACTTAAGTAAATAGTTGATATGAGTGCTTAGTAGAAGCAAGTTCCCTTCCATGTGTGAGGCTAGCAGTGACTTGTTGAAGCTCAATGTATTTTCACTTGAAATGCTTCCTTTGTACCTTATATTTTTTAATCCAATTGTACATCCATTAGTGGCTGATTATATATGTTTTTAATTGGCCTTATATTCTCAGTTCCTTTAATCACTAAATTTCTTTAAATGTTGGTACAATTTGACTTGTTCTTGAGAAACAATCTTTAATTTGATGCATGTTTATGGAAATAGACTATTTCTCTGGTTTCAGTGGCCTATGGTTCCTGGTTTAATCATGTAAAAAGCTGGTGGAAGAAAAAGGAAAACCACCCAGTACTTTTCCTGTACTATGAAGATATGAAAGAGGTAAAATGGTAGAAATTCATTCTGGATAATTTTCCCACTACATCCTGGGATAAAAGGATTAAATATATTTTCAACTTTATGGAGTCCAAAATGATATGACTGCTTTGACGATTCTCCATGCTTACTCACCCAAATCTTGCTAAGATCATTAGTGACCTTCTAGTCATGAATTCAACGACATTTTTATTCCTCTTATGCTTTTAACCATTGTATTTAATTTGAGCACCTTTTCATTTTGCAATTCTCTCTTATATTTCACAAGCTATCACACTCTCATGGTTTTCCTGGGGATCTCTATCTATCACTTAGTCATTTTTCTTTTAAAGTTATTTGCTGTATTTTGGTGATCATGGCCTTGGCCACTACTGCCAAAACTGTTTATGTGCTACTGAACACCCAAAATCTCCATTTTGTCTTCTATCCTTATTCACATGCAAGCTTACGTTAAAACAACCCTCAAATTTTACATGTTCAAACTTATCTTACTTCTGTCTCTCCAACATGTAATCTTTTTCTTTTGTTTTCTTGTGGTTAATGATGTTATTTGTCTGTTCAGTTTTCAAAGCTTGAAAGTAAATTGTCCTCACTAGCTTCTATATGTAGATTCCATTTCACTATATCCTGAACACCTGCTGGTTCACATACCTTACCTATTATTTATTCAACTGTGACCCTCCTTCACTTTCTTACTACCTCCCTCTTATTTCAGGTACTCAGAAGCATTCATTTGGTCTTCTGTATGAATTAGTATTAGTTCAAATACTACTGCAAAGTTCCAAAACTATTCTGGACTTGTTTTATTTAAATGAACCAAATACACATACACACACACACACACACACACACACACACACACACACATCATAACCCTTCACATACACATACACAGCCCTGGGAAATATATGGACACCAAGTTCCTGTAGTTATAAAGGCTGGGCATACAAATGAGGATATTTTTCATATGTTCAGGTGCATGATAGAAGTCACAATATTTATCGTTCTTATAACTGTATCCACAGTACCTACAATAGAGCACCTACAATAAATAGGGGTTGAATGGTCAACCTGTTGGATGAATAATTGCTTGAATGAATGAGTGAGCAGTAATAACAAACATTTTAGTGACATCAGTCCTAACTTTGCCTAACAGAAATCATGCTCTATATGAAATCTCCCTTTCTCTAATATTTTTAAGAAACCTCCAGGGTATTTTTCCCATTTTATCAAGGAGTCCTTTGAAGTTTTCTGCTATGCTTGGGCTCCCCCTTTCCATTACACTTGTTTGCAGCCCATAGAGAATCTGTGGTCTTAGCCTTATCATTGTCCCTTTATGCAGGGTTTGAGGTACTTAATGTCAATTTTGTGCAAAACTAAAGTGGTTTATGAAATCACTAAAAAGTGGCAATTTACCTTGAGTGTTGAATTAGCCAGAGTTAAGTTATGAATTTTTCACAAGAGAAAAATTGTCCTTCCACACCAAGTATCTCTTGACTTCCCAGACACCAGAATAGTGCACTTCCTAGCTATATGAGAAGAGCAATTTTTTGAAAAGAACTTCTGAATATAGTCCTTTTCTCCATAAGATGGAAAAATACATTTCCTGGGCTGGACTGGTATCTAAATTCTGAATCAGATATCATGCTGTTCCCCACATGATATTCTCATGTCTACCATTTCTCTCCTTATTTAGCTAAAATACCTTATTCAAATCAACTCATTCATATTGATTTGCAGTCTTGCTTACTCAGCTTTTAAGCAAATGCAGATATTTTGAACCCTGCTCAAACCTGCTACGTACATCTTACTTAATAGACAATGTTTTTCTTCCATCATAGTTATTTTAGACAGAATTATAAAGTTTTAATATAACAACAATGGAACCAAATTACAATTATATATCAAGAATAAAATTCAGAGACAAGTCTAATAACTTACATCAGGTTTACAAGTGTCTGCCTAAATTCTCAAAGAGGTGAAAGAGAAATACAGTAGAGGAAGATTCAAAAAGAGACTGCACTCTCTACTTCTACTGGCCTGTAAACTAACATCACTAATACTGTGGCAGTGACCAGATTATCTTCCAACCTACCATACTATTTGCCTGTCCATTTATGTTTTTCTGGTACCACTACTAACTTTTCTTTTGGCTTTTTCTCCAATATCATCATTTCTGACCTTTTACTCACTTTTACTCACTGACACCCCTTAACAAGTCATCTCATTCTTGTCTTAACAAGGTCTGATACATAAAAGCATTGCCAGAACTTCCTTTGTACGAGATTCTTTGTCAAAGCATACACATGCCTGCACAGACAGACACAAACACACTCACACACAATAAATAAGACACTATTAAATGCTGTTGCTTCCCTACCACTGAACAGATAGTCCAAAACCTTCAGCAGGACACACAAGGATGCTCTCAAATTTATCCCAACTTCTCTCTCCAGTTTTATAGCTGCTGTCACTCCCTCAAAAAACTCAAACCTAACTCTAAGCACTTTGTTTTTTCCTCCCTTACACATATGATGAGACTCTGTACTTGCAAAAGTTTTAACTGTTTTTCTCTACTGGAAATCCAGTGTCCAGTGCCTCAGCAGACAGTGCTTCTTGGTGACTTCTGACGAATCTTTTTGAACTCAACTTAGACATCACCTTCTTAAAACTGCTCTAAACATATCCTTATAGATTTTGGTTTAGATTCCTAAAAAGTTACAAATAGTTTATGTCATTAAAATCTGAAAAGAAAATCCATTTCTCGGATTTTGTTCCTTTTGTCCTCAATGGTTAAAAAATAATTTAGGTCTTGATACCTTTGCACCTTTTTGTTAAAAAAAATTAATTTTTAACAGCATATGTTGAAGGAAGGTATAATCAGTATTTATACTTTTAGGCAAATATGCTTAATGTCCATGAATTTATTATTTTTATTTTTAAATATTTTTATTAAAAAACAAGAAAGAAATTTGGTTAAGAACAGAAAAACAAAGGTGGAAAGAATAAAAAGATACTGGGTCCCTAGAACATTCAACATTCAGATTGACTATCGATTGTTTAAAATAGTTGTTAGGCTTTTTTTCTCCAACAATTGTTGATATTTAGCCCAAGCTTTGTTCTTGTTGTACTTTCAATGTGAACTAAAAATATAAGATTTAGAATAAACAAAATATTTTCACTCTATTTTTACTAAACAATTTACTGATTTTTTTCATTTTTATGCTGAATTTTTAAAAATTATTATTAGATCCAACCAAATAAGGATTCAATATTTAGAATCAACATTTAAGAAAACGTTATAAATACTATAGTTCTTCACATTATGTTAATGATTTACTGTTTATCATTTACTTGGGTATGTCTCTTTACCTACTGATAGAATCCAAAGCAGGAAATCAAGAAGATTGCTAAATTTCTAGAGAAGAATCTGAATGATGAGATCTTGGATAAGATCAACCATCACACCTCATTTGAAATGATGAAAGACAACCCTTTGGTGAATTATACGCATTTGCCAAATATAGTGATGGATCAAAGCAAATCTCCTTTTATGCGCAAAGGTGAATATTTTGCTGAGTTTATTTTACTTTTTTACTTTCCTATGAATTACTCTGAAATGAAGATTAGGTTTTGTGATCTCTACCAAGTTACTCAGACAGTTTGGGCACCAATTTCTTCCTCTGTCAAAATACATACCACAAATAGTTGCTGAATTACATTAGAAAGTATTAAAGGAAATAATGCATGTAAACCTGTTACCAGAATACTTTGAGTACTTGATACATATTTCTGCTTCTATTTATTACTTTGTTAAATGGAATTGGCTTTATCAGTTTTTATGTGAGTTATTCCAAATTTGTGATTCCTAAGTCTTAAATCTTTGTCCAAATCACCATAGGCCTCCTTCTTTTTGGTAGTGATAAACCGATGTCACTCAATACAATACTATCTTCTTTATAAAGATCCTAGATCATTTAGAAAACAGTAGTCACTTTGTTAAAAAGGATTCAGCAAGAGAAAGGACCTTTTTTTTACCCTCTGGGGAGTTTCTGTTTCTTAAGAATACTGTTTAAATTATAGGAGACACAAAATCTAAGGTTAACTTAAAAAAATGACAGTAGAAGAATATGGCTTCCACTGAAGCAAATCCTGTATGTTGGAGCTTATTATATATGATTTGTGTCAAAAATGTTTTATTAATGGTAAAAATAATACTTTAAAAAATTACTAACAAATAAATTTGAGAAGTTATCCACCTAATCATTCCACCTTCTGTTTTCAATATTCCTTGTTGAATTGGAGAGAAAAGGAATAGAATTTCAGTTGGTGCACTGGGAAGTAAATATAACCTTAGAAATGTACCAGGCATATAAACATATGAATGAAAATCTGCAATTTTGAAAAAGTTATATAGTTAAACTTTGTCTGAAACATTTTTCTCCATAATTTTTTCAATTAACAAATAGTCCTAGTGTTTTCAAATTACATATTTTTTAATTTTCAAAAACATTACATTCAACTTTTCAAAATAACCTCTAGTGTAAGAGTCAGAGTAAATTTTTCCTTTTAAATGGTGCATTATAAGTTTGAACAAAGAGGATTGATACACACACACACACACACACACACACACACACACACACACACACACACACACAATTTTCCTGATGGAAGAATCAGGGAGAATAATCTCTTGTATTAAACAAGGCAAATTCCCATTATGCCAGATCATTGAATGTAACCTCAAGAAGATTCTTATCCCCACTCATATGAAAATTGATACTACCCCATGCTCTCATTAGGGTATAGAAATAGAGGAGATAAGCTCAGTAGTTGAAGTCTATGGTTCCACCCACTTCAACAGAAAATGTGAATGTTGGTCTAATAAGAAACAGTCTACATGCTCCCTGAAAGTGGTAAAGAACGTGTCATATCCTTTGTGGTCAGATTGACCTGGGGTTTATGCAGGCTACGCCACTCCCTGAATCTATGACTTTGAATACCTTAATAAACCCCAAAGCTCTGGTCACATCACTGACAACATGGAGAAAACAATAACATCTATGGAGGAGGTTTTGGAGAAGGATTTTTTAAAATTATATGTAAGCATTTGAAATATTTTTCTGACCATAATGTTGTATACAAAAGTAGCATGTCTTATTTTAGTCTAAATAGTTCAAGATTGATTTATGCATTCATTCATTTTCTTATTCAATAAGCAAGTATGTTTGTGTGTATTATATAATTTATATTAAAAATAGATCACTGGGATACTTTATATATGACTTATTTAAATCTTTGTTTTTTGTTTTTAATAACAATTTTACAGCTATACTATCCCAAATATACATTCCCTAAATATACAATCCCCTCACATACATTCCAAAGAGCTCTTGCCATCTGGTGAACATAGAGCAAAGTATATGCAGGTAAAAAAAACTTGTCTATGAGGATATATTTCATTGAAAGCATTTGTAATCTTCATTAAGCCATCATGGGTTAATGTAGCTTGTAATTTAGTAGGATATACTTAATATTTAATTAAATAACAAAAGTATATGTTTTCCTCTAAGCACATTGACATTATATTAAAAATTTATTCATTTTTTAAATAAGCATTTATAAGCACCCAAATATAAGAGATTAAATGTAAATTTATACCCCCAAAGTTTTACCATTTTAAAGATGGTTCAGGAATGTTATATGTTTGATTTTAATGCTCTTCTCATCTAAAATACAAATATGGTCTAAGTCTAGTGAACTCAGGGAAAACAAGGATCCTCCAAGCATCATTCTCTCCTCATTAAAATTTCTGGGAAATGATTGTTAATCAGCTTTCTATTTCATGGTTTGGTTATGCTGATAACAAGTCCTTTATAGTTTCTGAAAGTTACTCATAACATAAAGTATGTTCTGATCACTTATCCTGCACTCACTGGTAACCCCCCAGGACAATAGGAAACACTAAAAGAATCTCTTCCAGAAAACTGTTGTATAGCCCAGAAATTTAGATAAGAAAATTAACCCTTCTCAGAATGTATCTTTAAAAGTTAGACTCTGTTTAGTTATCAGCCACCTTTTAAGATGGGAGGAATTACCAAGAAAAGACAAATGACAATTTGTAAAGCATTCAAATACAAATACAGTGTGCTTTTATTTTTCTTATGTTTTCTTTTGGAAGGTATCAACTTTTCCTTTGTAAGGGGAATATTTATTCCTTCATATGTTTTCTTATTTATTATTTTTAGGGATTGCAGGTGACTGGAAGAATCACTTCACGGTGGCCCAAAATGAAAAATTTGATGCCATTTATGAGAAAGAAATGTCTGGAACTACACTTCAGTTCCGCACAGAGATTTAAAGAGCTGAAACTGCAAATCTGAAGAAAGACCCGACTTTTAATATGTTGAAATGGGCACTTATGACTTGACTTGGGGAATCCAATGGATTTATAAAGGAGAAAATGTGCTTTAAAACTATGATTGTTCAGTGTCATTTATCAGGTTCGAGTTGAGTTTTGTTCCTGACTCTTAGCTTCCAAATACCCTAAAGTTAGGGCCACTTGTTACCTTTTTGTAGGCTTAATCCTGTCTTTTCCTGGACTGGTAATGACAAAAGAGAAAGTATTTATCCTACTTAATCTCCACCTATTATGACTTAGAATTAAGTTTCCCTTCTCAATAACATGGCCTAGGAAGTACTGTTTGCACACTGACACTATACTTTCTAGCTCTACCCCAATTTCCCTTTGCTGAAAACTTGACCCAGGACACTGTATTCCACTGCTGGCTCTCGGGTGTCAGGTAATGTTCCCTGAATCACAGCTCTTCTTGCAGTTCCTCTATTTGGGTAATATAGTTCATGCCCTATATCATATGGTTCAGATTTTGGAAATGTTGTTTCTATACCTAATCTCTAAGTATCCAAATTTCTAATTGCTGAGTAGCTAATTTCTGAGTACCCAAAGGTGAAAGATCAACACTAGTCTCCCTAGGGCTCTTCCCTAGGAGTTGGAGGGCTGCTCTGAGAGCCGGGAAAGCAGTCTGGGACGGGTTTCCTGCGGAGAGTCCTCCCACCTCCCAAAGCTCTTCTGCATTTCTGAGAACAGCCCATTGCTATGTTCTGGTCACCATTTGAAACTTAAGTTACTTCATGTGTCTGATGTGTCAGATTTGGATCCTTTAGTAGCATCTTCAGCATCCCAGATAAGATCATAGCTCTGAATCTCCACATTCCCTCCAGACTCTCCAGTGACCCCCAACATCCCTTTTGTGTGCTGCCCACATGCCTATCAGCTTGGGCTCTTTGATAAATGTTTCCTTGGATCTTTTGTTGCTTAACTCCAGCTTTACCTCAGATGTAGTCATTTGTATCTACATGTGCACCAAGATCTTTGGCCTGTGGACCATATCAGCATGTGCCAGATTTCACGCAGAGCCCAAGTTCCCAAATTCAATCTTCATTAGAATGCCCTAGGCCCTTCCTTGTTCTGGAGAGGAATTCTGACGCATCACAGACCCCCTGAAACACAACTGAGGTAGCTACCATAATTTGGGCCGCGATATTTGGCTTTCACAGGTGAGTCTCTGCTGTCTGCTTCTGCGACTAGCTCCTCAACCCTGTGACTTTTCTTGAAACCTGCCCCAGCAGGGGATTGATCTAATACCAACTGCAAACCTCTTAAGAGTGATATATCCATGATCTGGAGACAGTTGTTTTTGAAAGATTTATTATAATATATACTACTAATTATTGCAGAGTATGAAACTTGTATGTTCCTTAGAAACATGTTTAGTAGTAGTTAATCTTGAATACCTAGGGGTACTGTGGAGTGGTTCCAGCTTTCTAGAATACTCTAACCAATAAGGAAGTAAAGTCAATTGTATCTGTTCACTTTATTACCTTCATTAAGTTAATGTGTCATAAACTTCTGATATTATAGTCCATTATTGGAAAAATAAAAAGAGGAATCTCTGAACTAGTCTTTAACCTGTGTAATAGATTGGTTTCACTAACTATGTTCACTAACAGGAGAAAATGATTCTCACTTCCCTTAGTTTTCCTTTGTGGAAATAAGTCTCTGTAAAAAAGACTTATTTTAAAAAATCTGCATAACTTTATGCCCCAGGCTTTTTCCTGGGCACTGGAGATAGTGTGGAGAGAAAGTCGATTTAGGTTTCTTCTACCTTTCTTACAGGTCTTTGCCTCCTGTCCATTCTTTATTCTCTCATTCAAATGCTGCCATCCTGCTTCACTCTTCCGTCAGCTCACACCTCATGACCCCAGTTAGTACTCCTACTAGAATTTCATCTTCAACAGTACCTGACATTTTCTGTAGTCATTTAGAAAACTGCCACTGAATTAATTTTCCAAAAACAATGATTTTATCACTATTTCTTCTATTCAGTAATCATCGGTATAATTTTTAAACAAACAAAACTTTAGAATGACCTCATTCTCTTTCTATAATTGAAGCGTGTGATGTAAAGACAGTGGTAGCAAATACATAATTATTCCCTCATCCATGCCACCTCACTAATCAGTTCAAAGACTGCTTTCCAAGAAGCCAAAGGATGGCCTTAAAAAATCTTTTCACTACAGCATTCAAAGCAAGTTCTAGACTAGGAGCCTATTTTGAAACTTTGCCATTACTGAAAAGGCAAAGACCTGCAAGGACCCCGAGAGAACAGTGTTTTAAACTTGGACTGTCCTTTAGTGACATGCTGAAGCTCCAGAAAACCAAGTAAATAAGATTTTAGTTTTCTCATCTGTAAAATTAGGTAATTGGTTTGTGTTTCTTCCATATTCTAAAATTCAGTAGCAATGCTTGCCTCCTGCTTCTGTAATCAAACTGTTTCCATCAGCGCCTGAATGTCTTTGAGTTTCCTGCATCCTGCTTTTGTTCACGTCATGCAGTTTTTTCTCCTAACTCCATTCCCACAAACACCCAGAATGCCATATTTCCACTTCTCTACATTAAAAGCCAATTCTATTTCAGCCCAATAAATTTTAACCTCTCTCAAAAAAATTTCTTTCCCCCAAGGCTCTTAGTATTTGTCCTCCAGATAGTTTATCTGACAGTAAATACCCTATGACCTCTCTTCTCTTATTCTAAAACACCATTATTTCTTTGGAGCTGTCTATCAACAAATGAAATTATGTCCATTGATAGCACTGGCTTTCACTTTTTAGTGCTTCTGTGATGCTTGGCACAAGCTTTTTAGATACATAGCTCTATGTTCTGAATGATGACAGATTTAGAGTCACTTTATCTCATTTAGAAAAGTTTATCTGTAAAGCTCTCTTTTGCAAATTCGCCATCTATTTCAACACACATTAAATGGCACAACTTAAACACAGCAATATGTAGAACATAAATAGATCAAAGGAATTTCCCCTGCTGGATTTAATTACAACCTCAGACTCCTTCTTAACACAATCCTGTATCAATATATTGATTCACAGAGGTTGGTAGATGTGACAGCTTTATGTATCAAGCCTTGGCTAGGCTATGTTACCCAACTATGCAATCAAAAGTGCATATAGGTGTTGCTGTATAGGTATTGGGTAGATGTGGTTAACTGTGGTAACATCAGCTGAATTTATCTAAAGGAGATTATCCTTGATAACACATTTGGGCCTGATCCATTAAGTTGAAAGGCTTTAAAAGTAGAATGGAGATTCTCTTGAGGAAGAAGAAATTTAAAAATTCCTACCTGAGAGTTTCCAGCCTGAAGGTCTGCCTTATAGATTTCAGACTTGCCTAGATAGGCCCCACACTGCACAAGCCAGTTCCTTACAATAAATCTCTTGATGTGTGTGTGTGTGTGTGTGTGTGTGTGTGTGTGTGTGTGTGTGTACACATACATGCATGTATGCAGTGTGTATGTATATGTATCTGTATATCTCATTGGTTCTGTTTCTGTGGTGGAACTCTGGTGGATACAGTATAGATGTTAAATTGTATTTTCTATTCTATACTTTCATTAAAGTTTTGGACCAAGTCATTTGACCATTCATAGTAATTTTGATCAGTGTAAGCTTCCAATAAGTTAGAAGTATTTAAAGACTATATGATTCCTCCCTATAACTTTTCTATTGGATAGCATGAACTAAATATCACAAAGGCAAATGTGTATCTTATATGAAACAGCTCTTACCAAGGAGTTCAGATGGCAGAGCAAAAGGTTACATGTATAAGTACCAACCTGTGTATAGACATATGTTTGTAAATATTTCTATAGGTAGCTATCTGTACTATGTCCACTTGGACATGGTGTATAATTCTTTCTATACATTATTGGATATAAATTGCTAATATTTTGTTGAGAGTTTTGTGTCTAATTTTAAGAGGGGTATTAGTCTATAATTTTCCTTTTTGTAATGTATTTTTCTAGCTTTGGTATTAGAGTGTTACCTGTACAGAATGAGTAAAATGAGTAAGAATGTGTTTACTTCTGCTGCTATTTTTTAAGGGTTATTGTAGATAATTGGTTTTATGTTTGGTAGAACTCACTGGTATAATCAAATGGGGTTGCTGATTTCTTTATTGGAAAGTCATTAATTATTGATTCAGTATCTTTAATTCAAGTAGGACTGTTCCATTTATTTCTCCTCAAGTAAGTTTTGGTAGTTTATGTCTTTCAAGGAATTGGTGCATTTGATATAAATGATAAAATTTGTGGGCATGCAGTATTCCTTTATTATTCTTTAAAGGAGTGATGATTCTTCTTTCACTTCTTGTACTTGAATTTGTGTTTCATTTTTTTCTAGTTAGCCTGACTAGAGGTTTGTCTATTTTATTGATCTTTACAAAGAATCAGCTTTTGATTTTGCTGATATTTTCTACAATTTCTTGTGTTCAGTGTCACTGAATTTATGCTCTAATTCTTATTATTTATTTTCTTCTGCATAGTTTGGTTATAGTTATTTTTTTTCTTCTGCTTACTTCTTGCCGTGTTTTCCTATGTGGAAACTTAGATTATTGATTTTAGATCTTTCTTCTATGCACATATATATTCAATGCTGTAAATTTCCCTCTAAGCTCTGGCTTTTGCTGCAACCATACATTTTGATAAGTTGTATTTTCATTATCATTTATTTTGAAATATTTCAAAAATTTTTCTTGATACTTCATGTGTTATTTAGGAGTGCATTGTTCAAATTCCAAATATTTGAAGATTTTGCAGCTATATTTCTCATATTGATTTCTAATTTAATCCCACTGTCATCTAAGAACACACCATTTAATCCTGTTAATTAAGTTTATTCAGATGTTTGTTGGCCCAGAATATGTTCTATTTTGGTGAAGGTTCCATGTTCCTTGAGAAGATTCTGCTCTTGATGGTTTATGCAGTCTATAAATGTTTATTACATCAAGTTGACTAATAGTGCTACTTAGAACAATTATATTCTTATTTATTTTCTTCCTGCTTGATCAATCAGTAACTAGGGAGAGGGTGTTGAAGTATCCAAGTAC